GGTTGGACTGGATGATCTCCTGAGGTCCCTTCCAACCCCCACCATTCTGGGATTCTGTGATGCAGCCCCAAGATTGCTGCACAGAGGAGGACAATTACTGCTTGTCAAGATGTGAACAGCTGCACTATGGGTTAAAGCGTGCTGTAGCAAAACCTAAAGCCTGGCTTCATACGTTTTTTTTTCTATTGCCAAAATCCCTACTGAAAGGGCAAATCTTGAAGCAGACCTGCTGCTGGTAAAACTTGTGCATTTTGGAATCAAGACTGAATTAGTTCTCATCACACTCTTGCTAGCACAGCTGCAATCTCAGCTCTTGAATTTTAAGCTGCATCTGCTTATAGCCTTTCGTATGATTTATCATGGTGAGTAGTAACCTTAATCACACAGTACTGGTTTGAAATCACGGTGCAACTAGAAAGGTAAACTATATGCCTTGTTATTTGTAGAAATAAATGGAAAAGTTTGACTTCTGAAACTGAAAAGACAGAGTTGACTTCATTGCTGCTTCACAGAATGAGCTGAACGATGCACTTCCAGTCATATTTCTAATATATAAGAATTGCCTGTTTCCTAGATTACTTCTGAAAAAGAAACCAAAAAATGTTGCTGTGTCAGGCTTTAAGTGCATCCTGTTCACAGGAGGATTGCCTGAAGTGGCTTTTAAGCTTTTTTTTTTTGTTGTTGTTGTTCAGTAATAGAAATAACTTTTACTTGCTTTTATAAAAATTAAGCCAAAAAAGCTCAATAGTTTTAGGAATCAAGAAAGCAATGCTGTACTTGGCTTTGTGCAGCTCATGAATCAGGCCTCTCCTTCCTTCCTCTCTTCCTTCCTACTTGCCTTTAATTAGACCAGAGGAATTTAATTGAATATCCTAGTTATCAGAAGAAAAATCATTATCAAAGAATGCCCATTTTCAAAAAGGCCAAATAAGATAAAATACAGAAATTTGATGTATGCTCTGTAAGTTTTCTGGCTGTCACGACTGTACTGTTTCTGGAATGGACTGTATTTATACCTGCAATAGCACATAGCCAACAAGTCTTTAGCATCCTGCCAAAAACCAACTTTCTTATTTTAATGGTATTTTAAATCTTGAGAAACTGGCAGTTGTTTGGGGCTTGGCTTTGAACTGAAACTTTGATCTGGTTTCCTGGGATTGAAGAAAGAACACATCATGGAGGAACTTGGGCTGCATCTTAAATTCAGGCTTGTCTTAAAAGAACTTGTTCTTAAAATAAATTTGTTGGGTGTACCCTGAAGTCATGAGCCGTGTACAAAAGGTTCATAATAATATAATTTACCTTGATATTAAGTTCAGAGAACTCTATATAAAAAAAAAACAGTCAAAACACCACTGCCTTCTGATCTTGTTCCAGAAATAAGTGCCTCTTGAAGTACACAGTGGGGGTAGGCCTGTTGGTTTCAGAGTTGCTGCTTAAAATGTGCCTTTTCAGATAGAAATCAGAGAGCATTTTTAGCTTTTTATTTCTGTTATAAAAATGATTTTTGTGTGATTTGTCTCATCAGTCTAGTTTTTATGCTTTTCTGAGCCATCAGTATGATATTTGTTCTTCACCCCTGCTCTTCAATCTGCTGAATTCTTCAGATGACTTTGGTCCACTACTCGTGTGAAACAAGATAGTGTTGCATGGTGGCATCTCCTCTACTTTCCTCCTCCTTTTCCTACATATCCCTCTCCCTCAGGCAGCAATTTGTTCTCCTTGCTGATTCTGTGACCTTGTCAGTTGGCTTTCCTGGTTTAGTGGTGTTAAGCTGGTAATATTTTCTTTTTCCCCCCTCAGTGGCAAGTTTTTTGTGGCACATCGGTTAGTATTCTCAAAATATCTTTTACTGTTTAAAAATTGTCCAGAATCTTGTAGGTGATGTTGAAAGACTTCACTGAAAGCTGAAAATTAAGGAGATACTTATACCTTCCTGTAACCTTATTTAAAACCTTGCTCTGAAGTTTGATTTTAAAGAACAATTTCAATTGGCTCGAATACATCCCTGCCATAATGGAGTTTCCAAAATACAGAGGCTAAAGATGTTCTTTAACTTTTGGAACATGTAGATAATATTTTAGTGGATTGCAAGAAGTGACATTTGCCATGGGATTAAAACAGTACCATACATATTCTCTTTTATGCAAAACTAGCAATCAAATTAGGCATGCCTAATCAAATTTTCTTTTAAATACCTTCTTTCAGTATGAAGATGAAGAAGCTGCAGAGGAATTCAAAATTTCCAGCTTTGTAGACATGGTTCGGGATTGCAGTCGCATTGGTATTCCGTACAGCTGCCAAGGTAGGTTAGCTTGTTTTATCCTTATAGCCTCAGTGTTTTGCAGCATGCAAGTCATGCAGTTCAGAGAATGAAGATTTCTTTGGTAAGAAATAAAGATTAATATGATGATAGTTGCCTTTTAGATTCTTTTTACTTAAGAGCTGGGTTTCTTTCTGAAAAAGATAAGCCCTTAGACTTCATCTGAAGAGTGAACACTCACAGCGCGAGGCAAAGAAATAATTTGCATTCAGAGAAGCGTGTTCTGCTGCTACAGACGTTCTCTGTTCAGTTGGGAGTTCCAGATAAATACTTCTTTATGTAAGGAAAGAATAAACATTTCGTTATGCAAGTTTCCTTTTTTTAGCACTGAAAAAAAAACTGGACTGCATGACTTCCTGTTATGATCAGTGTAATCTTACATTGTTCATTAAAATCTACTTTGCAGTATCCCCAACAGTGAATAATGCAAAAGCAACGCAGTGCAGTCCTTCACTGTGCAGCGTGAGCAAACGGGGTTTTTTTTATCCATAGTACAGTAGGTGAGAGGCAAACAAAAAAAATTGCTTTCTATTTTTGAACCTTCTAAATTCAAACCAAGCTTTTTTTTTTTTTTTTTTTTTTTAATTCCTAATTCTTCATTGTTTCACTTGAGGAAAGGATGATATGTTCTGACTGCCTGAAAAATCATTAATGATTTTCTTTTTAATGAAAAAAGTAATTAATGAGGGGGATGGATCACAGAATCCCAGAATTGCCCAGATTGGAAAAGAACTTTAAGATCATCGAGTCCAACCATGAACCCAACACTGACAAGTCCCCCATGACTAACCCATGTCCCTCAGCACTGTGTCTACATGACTATTCAAGCCCTCCAGGGATGGGGACTCCACCACTGCCCTGGACAACCCCTTCCAATGCCTCACAACCCTTGCAGCAAAGAAATTCTTCCTCACATCCAATCTCAACTGCCCTTGGTGCAACTTGAGGCCATTTCCTCTTGTCCTCTCACTTGGTCCTTGGTTGAACAGACCCACCCCCAGCTCTCTCCACCCTCCTCCAAGGGACTTGCACAGAGCCACAAGGTCTCCCCTCAGCCTCCTTTTCTCCAGCCTCAACACCCCCAGTTCCCTCAGCTGGGAACTCAGCACACTTGTGCTCCAGACCCTTCCCCAGCTCCCTTGATGGTGGTTCCTTGTTAGGAAGTATCTAAAGAAGGTGTTTAGCTTAAGGATGATAATCACACTTCAGATGACTTACACCTTCACTGATGAGTACTAGGCTGAATACTTTTCCTCTCCCCTGACTTAAAATTTTGATTAACATGGGGATGACATTGACAGAATTAGACTTAAGGCCAAATATTTAAAGAAATTGGAGTAAGTAAAGCTCCTTGTTTAGTATTTTAAATTTTAATGAGCACAGTTTTGCTAATGGTCTTGGAATTAAATTTGCAAGGCAACATAGTAGTATCTTTTACTAGAGTGATAACTGGAAAAAGGGACAAAACTAGAGGTGTAAAGAAAGGAGTTTCTAAAAGCTGCCATCTTCAGAAAAAGCATTTTTAAATTACAGATTTTAAGTTGTACAAAGACAGGATAATTTAGATCCTTTATTAGAATTTTGAAACAACTCTAAGATCTCACAGAAAGTTAAACTTGCAGTATTTGTGAAAGAATGTTTGTGAAATATTTCTTTTCCAGGTCACCTACAGATATTTGATATGTTCATTGTTGAAAAGTGGCCAATAGTGCAGGCTTTTGCACTGGAGGGAATTGGGGGCGATGGCTTCTTTACAATGAAGTATGAAGTAAGTAGTTACCTTTTTCATTTTCTTCCATTTCCGTTCTGAAGCAGAAATTGAATTGTGGAATCATTTCAGTTGGAAGGTACCTTTTGAGATCATCTAGTCCTGACTCACTGCTCAAAGGGGGCCAGCTTCTAAGTTGGATGAAGCTTTTCAGGATCTTACGAAGCTGAGTTTTGAATGTGCAAGGATGGAGACACCACAGTCTGGCAGAGAGACTGTTATGAGCTATACATCACTGTCTTGGATAAACCATTCTTGGTTGGTGTGTCCCCAGACCCCCTGTTGTGATTTAGAACTTTTTTCTTCTCTTGTACCAATAAAAGAAAACACTTTTCTTTTTCTAACTCTACTAGATGGGTATAGATCTTCAAGAGCAGTGAAAGAGAAGCTGGTTAGTGACAAATGCCTTGAAATTAACTCTGGAAAAAATCAGAAGACGCAAAAATCACAAGTGACTGATTCTTGGGTTATTGGTTTTGACACGAGATGCATCTAATTTTCTCACCGACATATATTCTTGGTTCACCATAACCTGCTGAATAGGGAAACAGTCAAGATTTTAGAGTATGCTCCTAGTTTTAATAATGATTTGCTGTTCTACTCTGAGCAACTTGTGTTGTTAGATTTGCCTATTTATTAAATATACTCTAACAGCATCTTCAGAGGACAGCTTTGTATTTTATGTACTTGTTTGAAGCTTCTTTCATTTAATTTATTGGACCTCTGCCACAGAAATGCAGATGTCCTATTTTTCTTATCAATCCTTCATTTTTACAGCCAGAATGTTCTTTGTCTGACTTCTGACAACTGGAAAAAACCCAAGGAATTAATAGTACCATTGTTAGTCTCACCACTAACTGTACAGTGTAGTAGTACTGTACACACTTGCTCAAAAATCTATTATGGGATTTCAAGTGTGCCTTTCTCTGAGCACTGTGCTCTTGCCATTGATGCTTTTCATCATGCCTTTTTTTAAAGAAAATCTTCTTCATTCCATCACTAGTACTGTAATCATCTGGGTGTGTGAACCTGTCAAAATCATAGAATCATAGAATGGTTTGGGTTGGGAGGGACCTTAAAGCTCATCCAGTTCCAACCCCCCTGCCAGCAGCAGGGACACCTTCCACTAGACCAGGTTGCTCAAAGCCTCATCCAACCTGGCCTTCAACACTTCCAGGGAGGAGCAGCCACAGCTTCTCTGCCCAACCTGGGACACTGTCTCACCACCCTCACACCAAAGAATTTCTTCCTCACATCTCAGCTCCATCTCCCCTCTGCCACTTTCAAGCCATTATCCCTCATTAAATACAAGGTGCAAATACACGAGCATCTTCGTGGAGGTCTGCCTAGATATCAGTAGGTCCTTCCTGATGTCTGAAGTTAGTCAATGAAAATTTAACTGTGAATTCAGGAGGTGTTTGGGGCTTTAATTACCCTTGCCAATTAATTTCATGAATCCATAGAGGCTTTGGAAAAATGTGTAGATACACCATGGCAATGACTTTGTAAAGACAGAGCCTCTCCAATTTAATTGTGGGAGTTGGTACCATCTTTATGGGATTCTTGCATTTTTCAAAAGGAGCAATGCAAATTCACAGTACCTGTTTTTAAGAGTAGGGCATGTTGGCTCTGGTGATTCAGCCAGTTCCAGCTCGAGTTCTTTCTTCCTCCTTAAAGTCATAAGGGGATTTCAAGTGGGAAGTGGCATTCTTAACATTTTACGTAACTGTTTATGCATAGTTATCTGTTAGGCAGCTGCTCTATGTCACAGATGGGGAAGGAAGTACATTTGGAATCACTGTAAATGATCTATAAATGAATACTTCTGCTCTTGCTAAAAGAGAGTGTTATTGGTGCATTTTTAACTCCTCAAACTGACTTTCCCCCTGTTGTGTATTCTGTGCTGTTAGATGTGAAGATATTCTAATGATAAAAATTCGTTTTTTAATATTTTTTTCATTTTTTTTAAATTCTCTTACTATAGAAGTCACAGTTGTGCAAGGTGCTGTAATCCAGAGATTTTACTGTACTGATAGGTGATGGAAGTGATGTCTCTGAAATCATTATTGCCCTGTCTAATAATGCAAGTCACTGGAATAACTGTAAAGCAGTGGCTTAAGAAAATCCCAGTCAGTCTTGCATTTTTAATTAAGTAGGTGGTGGGAAACCCTGTAAATGCAGAAATTATTCAGATACAAGTGTCCCTTAAGAATATATTTTTGAATAGTTTTCTCATATGTATCATCTTATTACTTGGAAGAAGGTATTGCTGGTTGTGAAGTTAAACTAGTTTTACCTAAATTTACATTAGGCTTCCAGCAGGAACTAGCTGATGCGTAGGATGAGTAGCCGTGGAATCTGCTTCTTGTCTGTCTTGTCTCAGAAAGCTGATATTTCCTTTTTGGTTGCACTACCTGATACTATTCTTTGCTGTTAACTCAGTTTTGAAAAACTTTGTGAAATTATTTGTTTGAAGCATGCAAGCAAAACTTGGCATGTACTTTAAACCCTCACTTGAGGAGATGAGTCTCTGAAGCATTCAGAACACTTGCATCTGATAAATTCTTTTGTAACCAGTAGTGTAAAAATATTTCTGAATTCAGAGTCAAGGAGAACTGTTGGACTGGGCAGTGTGCTGTAAGTCTATTTTAATGCAGTTTCAACCTGAATTTGTGGCATACTTGGTGTTTTTCACAGAAGTGTGTTTAAAATCTTTTGCAGTTAATGGACGTCAGCGTTGATTTGTGGAAAACATACAGCAAAATGGATCCTGTTTCCTTGGAAGACTTGCTGTTTGAGGTAATGTGGGGGAAATATTCTGAATCAACTCCTAGTCTGTTAGTGTAGCTGCAGAGCAAAATTGTTCTGTTGTTTGTTTTTAATAGTGCTTATGTGCTTAATCTACTGGCTCTGCATACTGTTGTTCACAGGGTCTCTTTTCTTTCTTCAGATCTACCTCAAAGTCTGCAAATCTTTAAAATAGCTTATCTTGGATTCCTTGAATTTCTTAATTTGCCTGAAATTCCCTTAATAGTTTTTCTAAATGGTGTGACTATTCTTCGGGTCATAGAATGATAGAATGGTTTGGGTTGGAAGGGACCATAAAGATCATCTAGTTCCAACCCCCCTGCCAGCAGCAGGGACACCTTCCACTAGACCAGGTTGCTCAAAGCCTCATCCAACCTGGCCTTGAACACTTCCAGGGAGGGGGCATCCACAATTTCCTTGGGCAACCTAGTCCAGGTCATAGGACTATGTACAAAGTAGAGAAAGTTGGTATGTTTGTGTCTGTTAATCCTCTTTTCACAGCAAGGGGGGGAAAAAAAATCCACTTTAACATAACAGCCATTCTTCCAGGAAAAAACACTTTCAGATTTGCTCCGTAGCTACTTTGAGTGGGTAACAGTGACACACAGTGGCTGCCCTGATGCTTTGTGAAATACGACCACAGTGTAAAGTGATTCCTTAGAAATCACTTTTTTTTTCATACAGAAAGCAAAGTATGAGTATTAGTATATATTATTACATATTATTTTTATATATAATATAAAAATTATTATGTTGTTGTTAATTTTATTTATCAGTTTCTAACTTGGCAGCAAAGTAGACTTTTAACATGTAGCAAGTTCAGCAGTAAATATCCTTTATTAAAAAAAATATTGGTGGTTCACACCAATATGGTTGTTTAATCTGCTGTAATGAAAATGTCATACAGTTTACAGAGTTGTCAGTCTAAATAGTTGCCCTATGATACTTCACTTTTCCTTTTCCGTGGAAGTGAGGTAAATATTTGGGACTGTTTTCTTGTACCTGGTAATTCTACCCTGAAACAGACTTATTTATCCTATTTTGAAGTTTTGAACCTGAAAGTTGTTGTGAAATTGACTTGAAATTTTCTGGAGGAAAAACAAAACAAAACACCAAAAGACCCCACAAACACAAAACCAGGTTTTTCATACAACTCTAGTTTCATAGCAATTGGTGATTTTTAAAAATTTTTATTTTTCTACGTGAAGTTGAAGCTAGGTGCACTTAAAGAGCATTTGAAGCTGCTATATATTCATTTTTTTTTTTAACATAGCTTTGATTTCAAGAAGTTCTAGTTTTAACTCTACTTGAAATTTAAAATAACCTTCTGTACAATATGGACATGTTCCAAATAAGCTGACAAAAGCACTTTGTAGTTCTTAACTTTTGTGTAAAGCTTATTTGAGACTGGAATATTCTCCAGTGATAGTTTCTCCCTGTAGATATATTCATTTTAAACCTTTAATGTAGGCTTTTTTAGTATTTTGGAAGGCTTATAAGATTTTAACAACATCTCTTCTCTATATTTCATTCATTACTAAAGTGGCTGAAGTCAAATGCTCTGTAATACTTATACCACTGCTAAAAACATAGTTCTGGTTTTGTCTGTTATATGTCTGAAAACCTACACTCTTGAAAATCAGGATCTCTCTCTTATCTTCCAAGTTATATGTGAAAAGTAACTGACAGTAATCTCGAGAGTATTTTAAAATTGCCTAGTTCTGTAAGGTTCCTGCTTTATCAGTGTGACACACTTATTTTTATTGATTCTCTGAATTTTTTTAAATTAATTTTAATGCAACACTTACCTGTAGTCATCTTCCTTTTTTTATTCTGCATATTGAGGTGTTACTGATATTTCCTTTTCCACTTACCAGTTTTTTGTTTGTTTTGGTTTTTTTTTCCACAAATATAGATACAGAAATCACTGTCTGTCACTTGAATATCATGCACTTCCCAAATCCCCCCCCCTGTTTCTCATTTTTTTTTTTTTTGTTCATAAGCTTATTTAATGTCAGATACAAATTACTGCAGAACCATATACAGATTTAAAAATTGAAAATTAAATCTGTCCAAGTGTTCATTTTGGAAGTCTTATGGGAAACATGAGGTCTGAGTTAGGAGTGATCTCAAAACAGTGTATTTCCTTAGTCTAAAAACAGATAGGACAGGGCTCTGGTCCTTTTCCCTCTCTTGCCTCTTCTCTCTTCAAAAGACCCCCAAACCCCTAAAATCCATCAGAAACTCCTTATCTTTTAAAATCTGTGTATTTTCTTGTACTTATTGTTTCCTTGGGCATACTGCATAGTGAAATATAATCTATGTTGTTTTAAAGTAATTGGGGTTCATTGAGTCCAATCTGTGATTTCCTTTCTCCAGTATAACACTTGCCTTACTAAGTAAAGTTGAATATTTTTCTTTTAGGATTTAATGATTTTTGAACATCAGTGGACCAACTTTTTTGCTAATTTTGATACTGAAATTCCCTTCATTCTGGAACTATCAGAATCTCAGGCGGGGGAGGTATGTCTGCTTCAATAATCCTTTGAAATGCTAGTGTCATCCATGCAGAAATAATAACTATTCAGCATTGGCTTTTGTTTTATTTTTTTTGTTTTGTTTTCTTCCTGCTCCGTCTCATCTTTCATGTTTGAGGACTGGAAACCCTTTATTTATTTATTTATTTATTTATTTTTAAGTCCACCACCCACCTTACCTATCCAAGGTATGATGGCTTAGGGCTGCCTGGTGTAATTTAGTTGAGTGCTTGTTCATTGATAATTGAACTTTGTTAATTTCTGTCTGCACAGCAGATCTCTCATTGTAGGTAGATTGACTTTCATTTTGGTGGAAGCTCTCTCTCTATTTGCACTTTCTAACAAGTTGAAGTTGCACATGTCCAATCTCAAATGTAACTGATGGTAACATACAGCACTGATGAAAATAGCACAGTACTTTCTGGTAGTGGCTATTGCTTTTGAAGCCTGTATGAGACTTAATGGTCTTTGAATTTGTTTAGGGAGGTTGGAAGTAGTTTTTGAGGGTTCAGGAGTTTCCTCTGAACAGAGTAATTCAGATTTGTTCTTAATGATAGTGAGGATGTATCACATTTTCTGTTCATTTACTTGTTAATTAGGTTTTTTTTAATTCTTCACAGCCTTTCAGAAGTTATTTCAGTCACGGAATGATCTCAAGCCATATAACAGATAACAGGTATTACTCATTATTCCCTGGGAAATTGTGGTAACACTAATAGCTTATTATCATATCTCTGATGCCATAATGCTTGTAATTCTTTTTGGGACTGTCTCATTATGTCACATCTCACCTTTGCATACTTTAAAAAGAAATGTTCAAAGGCACTTCTGGGAAGGATAAGCTGAATTTTCATGGAAATTTATGCTGTAGTTATTACATCTGCAATGTGAATATGTTTGAAACCATCCGCCTTGTGCATTCTGATATGATCAATTTCTTCAGGGTCAGCTATCTCAACAAACTCATGAACTTAGTTACAGAGGACAGCTGTGTTTGAAATTTTGGTTCTATTTATACAATACTCAAAAACAATTAATATACAAAGGTTGAAGAAGTCAGTATACTTTGAGTCACAATGTGCATAAAACCAATGCTTAAAGCAGGGCAGTTAAGAACTGAAATCTTAGCAAATATAAACTGGGCAACAGAGATCAGCTTTATTTTATTTCAGCAGAGAATTTTAACTGAGAGAGGAAGGTTGTTTGTCAAATGTTGCAAAAGCCAGGGTTCTGCTGTCTTGAGCTAAATAAAGGTTGCTTAGCGACTTGAATGTCTCTGCAGATTCTTCTTTATTTGGAATTAAACAGTAGAGTTCAATGTCCTTTATTGTTTTCAGCATCCTATGCTGTTTGCATTTAAATAACAACAAGAAAAACCTTGACCTCTCCAGTTGAATCTTGGGCTCAAAGCCAGAACTAAAACCAAAATAGTTTCGTTTAATTCCAATATAGTCATTTCAGGGTTTTTCAAGATGGTAAATTTTAAACTAGTGAGTTTTTCAAGGCAATTTACTTTAAAAAAAGAAAAAAAAAAAACCTTTTAATATCATTTGGGAAACAACCTTGAGATATGTCCTTACATATGAAAGAAATGAAACTCTTGTTAATTCAAGTAGGTTTTTTTCTTGAGAACTTGGTCTTTTCAATGGAAAGCTTTTTGCAGCTGTAGTATTTTTTTTTTTTCCTATTCTTTCAGTGAGAAATTCAATAATTGGTCCATCAGACTTGAAAGCTTTGATTTCATTTGTTTGTTTGTAAGTTTTCTTCAAGTATTTTGGTGGTGATACCCTCTTTTTTTTTTCTTTAGCCCTAGCCGGCAGGTTTTTGTTTTGTTTGGTAGCCACTCAACTAAGGAAAACTTGAACTCTGGTAACTTTAATTTTCCATCAGAAGGACATTTGGTTCGAAACACTGGCCTTGGTGGAAGCACTGCTAAGCATATGGTAAGGCTTTTAACTAGTTATCTGGTATTTTGAAGCAGTGTATATTTTCTTATTTTAGTATATTTATTTTGTGCCCTTATAATTCTTACCTTCCATGAGTTAAATGCCAAGTTCTTCTTAATGTATAAAGATTTATGTTACCTTAACAATCAGTCAGTTTAAGGAACAAATTCCCTTTTTCTTTATCTTTCCAAGTCCACCTATATTGGATATTTAATTAGGAACTGCTGTATGAGTTAAAGTATTTTTTTTTCCCTGTAAAAAGATAACTTTTAAACACTTGTGGTGCTTTAAATGTGTAGGATGGGGGAGAGGGAAATGCTGTTTGTGAGGACATTTGTCCTAACTATAAAGAGAAAATCTTCCTGATGGTAGCATGTGATATAATTAACTCTGACATACAGATTATATTTTAATCAGAATTGTTTAGCTATTTCTTAAAAAGAAATGGAAAGACACTTTTTTTGCTAATGGCTTTGTGAATAGACACAGGATAATTCTGTGTATCCAAATTTCACTGTCCGCTTCAGCAACTGAACAGTTCATGAAACTCTGACAATCTTTCTGGTGTTCAGAGAATGTTACAAATCAAGTTGTGAGATGAATTTAAGATCAAAGTTGTAAGATTAACTTGTTTCCGTTTTCAAGTAAAAACTTAAGTTTTAAAACATATGATGAGGTCGATGGCTTGTTGCACTGCCGCGCAGGGGACCTAACTGGGGAAGCGACCCCAGGGAATTCAGATCCTCTGGCTGGCTGGGCTGGGTGCATCAAGAAGGTAACTCACAGCGAAGGAGGAGAGGTAGCGTGGAGATTGCGTTGTGTAGTTCTCCCTTCTAGCCAATTTCCATGGGCTCTGGGAGTGTCCGTCAGTTGTGCGAGTCCAAAGTCTGGTGCTGTTGAGGAGATGGATGTGGTTGAGTACAGGTCATCGTGGAGTGAACGTATGATTGAGGGAATGATTTTTCTGATCTTGTCACGACAACATTTCATGCGTAATTGGTTAAGAAGTGGATGGATGTGGGTATTCTGGACACATTACATTGATGAGAAGCCTGAGAAAGGATCGTATTAGCGTTCTGGTGAAATCTCACCCTCCATTTGCTGCTCCATCTAACCCTGTTTCTGTAAAAACACTTCCAGTTTTGTTTTTTCTCCCATTGTTAACATTCCTGTTAAGACCATTCAATACCTTTTGTAATGCAAGTACAATTTTTTTCTCATGCAGTACTTGCTCCCTCTGTTGTCTTATAATGCTGACGTTTTTCTTCAAAAGGTGGTTTATTTACAGGTGCAGGTGGTACAGTTTTAATAGGGTGTCATGAAAATAGTAAATAAGACCACGTGCAAACATAGTTATGGGAACCTGACACATTTTCCTCTTCACGAGAAGAGCAGTTGACATAGGAAATTGAAAACACATGCTTAACGCTTACGGAAGTCAGAGCTGATCTCCTTTCCAAAGCCTTTCAACCATTCAGGTCAAGTAAAAAAATAAAATACACCTTTGAAAAAGTAAGTCACTTTAAAAAAAAAAATCCAGTTAAATCTGTGTTGTGTACTTCCTGTAGTGTGTCAGTGGTTAGAAGACTTAAGGGGAACTTGGCTTATTGTTAATTATTGCACCATTTTTTTTTTTTACTAAGGTCTTTTTATATCTTATTAATACTGACAACTAGGTAGTGCAGTGTGTGTCTCCAAAGGGACCTCTGGCTTGTTCAAGGACCTATTTTTTTGGAACCACTCACGTTCCTTTCCTGGGTAAGTGTACTAAAAATACCAAGCAGTAATTTAAGGCAGTTATTCTGTTTGATTATTTAAAATTCATAGTGATTAAAAGATGGCTTTCATTCCTTTACGAGCATTAGGTCATAGAGTGGTAGATCATAGAATCATAGAATGGTTTGGGTTGGAAGGGACCTTAAAGCTCATCCAGTCCCAACCCCCCTGCCAGCAGCAGGGACATCTTCCACTAGACCAGGTTACTCAAAGCCTCATCCAGCCTGGCCTTCAACACTTCCAGGGAGGAGCAGCCACAGCTTCCTTGGGCAACCTGTTCCAGTGTCTGACCACCCTCACAGTGAAGAACTTCTTCCTAATATCTCATCTAAACCTCCCCTCTTTCAGTTTAAACCCATTTCCCCTTGTTCTGTCATTAACTGCCCTTATGAAAAGTCCTTCCCCAGCTTTCTTGTAGGCCCCCATAGTATCTACTATGTGTAGATACCACATAGTTCTGTAGTCAGTGCATGAAGTCATAGCAGAACGTTGTTCCATTGCACGTCCTACCTTCACGTGTGAAAATCTGTCAGATACTCACAAAAGAATGATTCAAAGGTCACGGAGTGTATTTGTTTTTGCATCAGAATGCAGTGTGAAGGTAGAGAGCACCTGAGCGTGCAGGCCTGTTACAAGTACTAGATTTAAGTCCATGTTCCATATAAGTTGATAGAAAAACAGTCCCCAAAAACATAGTAATTCAAAGTGGTAGTAATCAAATAAATACACCTTTTTTTGTTTGTTTATTTGTTTTTTACAAAATAATTGAGGATTTTTGCAAAGATAGTGAAAATTATTTGACTTTTATACTTTAGCCTCTGGTTTGGGTCTAGGATAGTGTCATACCTGTCTTCCCAAAGAAAAAACAGCCACGTGAAATTTTTAAAAACCATTTTCTTACCCACTTTAAACGGCTGCATGAATCCATGGATAAAGTCGGTGTTCTTAGGGTTATACTATATCTTGAAATCATATCCAGCTCAGAAAGTATCTGGAGAAAAGCTGGTTGGAGGTTTGCAAATTGGAAGGACTTATAGCATGTCTTTGCTCTAGTTCTGCTCCTGGACATCCAGGAATGGCCACTCTGGGGGACAGGACACAGTGTGAGAGGGGACTTTGTTCTGTCCCAGGGCAGCTGGTTTTAGGGGATGCAGGTCTTAGTCGTGTCTGTAGTAAATACTGGCTTTACTGATACAAGTTAATTTGTGCTTTGCTCTTTTTTTTTTTAACCTGCAGTTATATAAAATACTGGATGAATATAATGTAAGATGCAGCAGATGTTACACCCAAGAAATTCTGTGTAAACGCTTCTGAAAGTGCTTAAAAATATATATATTTATTTTTTTTTTAATACAGGAAATGACAATGAGACGCCCAAGAAATTCTATGTAAACACTTCTGAAAGTGCTTAAAAATATATATTTATTTTTTTTTAATACAGGAAATGACAATGAGACACACAAGCAAGCGGATCAAGTGTAAGCTGCCAACTTTTTATTATTCCTTAACTCTTCACTCTTTCTGTCTTGTGGCAAGTAGGTCAAAACTGCTTTTAGTCAGCGTTGGTTGTTGGCATTTGCAAAGCTACATTTTATTTAGAATAACCTGAATGTGAGCGGATTTCAAAGGCAAATTGCTCATGGAGGGTTTCAGTGAGAGAACTAGGAATTGTTAGTGTGACATCCCTTCTGTTGTACAGCAAAGTGTGAAAGGAAATCTTAGTAAATTTTGCTCAATAAGTTTTAATAAAACTTATCTTAACACTTATTTGGATTGCTTGAAAATGTACTTCATGTACACTGAGGGGGAAAGTATCTATAACTGAATGGGAGCTTGTTCCACAGATAGAAGTAAAAGTAATTTTTAGACTAGTTTCATTAAGCTAAACAATGTGTAATGGTTATAATGGTTAGTAAAAATGCCAACAGGGGACACTCAAACTTGCAAAGAAATTTCACTCTGTTAAAGGACAGAGAAAAGTTAACTTCTGAATTTTTTTTGGTAGCAAGCTACAAAGCATCCACACACTTTGACCTTCACAAAATAAAACTGTTTATCCATGTTGACGTCCATTTCTCTGCATGTTGTAGATACCTGTCAAGCTTTAACAACGTGGTAGATAATCTGCTTTGGTACTACTCTCCATCTTGATAAACTAGACCTTTCCTTAGAGGTTTTGTCCTCCTTGCTTAGTTAGGATAATTTTAGGAGCCTGTTCTTCCTTCTGCAGCAGAGTAGTTTGCAAACCTGCATGACATGTTAGGAAGATATTAAAGATGTGTCAGAGGTGGTAGCAGTGACCTTTCATGCCAAGTACTGTTGACTTTTGGTAATTATGATACAGTTCTCCAAAGACATAAAAATGAAGTTACTAGACTGAGAAGCAGATTTTTCATTCTTCATAGTAAAGTTAACTTCAGGTAATTTTGCTTACATATATATTCTGCTCAAACATACAGAATATTTTTTGTCCTGCTTTTAAAAGGCTTTGTACTAAATACAGTTCTCACTCAGATGGCTAGAGAAGGTCTAAGTCAAGCAGGGGTCACTTGATAGGGGCAGTATATTTTATAAGAATTTCTTGTTCTTAGAAACATCCCTGTATTGGACCAAATAATCTAGTTTCAACAACAGCAGCACAATTAACTTTTCTGGCAAACCTGACCTCATGATTTTGGAATTAGTTTGTGGTTGAATCCTGTAACTGTTTTTTTTCAATATTTGTCGATGTTTTACAATAAAATAAAAAGTGGAAAAAAAAATTTCATAAGCACTATTGAGTCCAAATTGAGTTGTCTTTAGGAAGCAGAACTGCAACCCAGAGTATCCCTGGGGTAAACTTTGTTTTTTGTAATACCATTTTCTGTTTTGCATTGTTAATGTTAAAATTTAAAATGGGAAGAGCAGCAAGGTAACTATAGCATATTAATGTAAAATTGTGAGGTGTTTTCTTGCAAATACATATGCTAATTTGAGTGAAAATGGGAATGGTTACAAAGTTAGGAAGAATTATACGCATTTTGGGTAATGAGTGTGTACTGCAAACATGAGTTAAATGCATGTGTTAGTACGTGAAATTACGTAGAAGAAACCTCAAAGAGTAGTAAGAAGGCTTGATTTGAAAATCTCTTATTGCTATTGGGAATGAAGTTCAAAGATAAGCATTGATGCATTTTGAGGTTCCTCCATATTGGGCCATCTTTGGGAGCTTTAGATGCTTTTTTCCATCCTTCAGGAATGCTTTGCACATGGCTTAAATGCTGTATCCTTCTCTTTCCTCCCACCTCATCCCTCCCTCAACATCTTGCAGTTGCAGAGGAGTAATGAGAGGGGTTGAAGTTTGGGAGAATTAGGACTGTTCTGTCGATCTACTTATCTTTTTGTTCCAATTTAGCTGGAAGACAAGAGGCTGATGTTTCTTATTGGGGCACAGATTTCTTTTTTCAATAGTTCTGGAGCTATAATGATGTCAGTAGCTGTAAGTCACTTCTGGCTTCACCTAACCTTTGTTTATTTCTGTACCATTTTTTTCAGTTCTTTTTTAAGAAGGGAATTGGACTGAAAAAGGTTGTGGTGACTGGTTTGTTTTGGTGTCTTTTTTGCTTGACATGCTCCAGAACAAGTCAGTCTCCAGAGTTGGGGAAAACTCTGTTTTCCAGTTTTCAGGAAACTCTGAAGTCAGAAAACTCTTGTTTTCTAGTTTTGCTTTTGCAGAACACAGGGCCACCATTCTATTCTTGTTGGAATATTTAGGATGTGATCGTCAGCACAACTGAAGTGAAAGTCAACAATAAATCATTATTCTTTTTTTCTTGATTGGTGAGAGCAGGGATACATTTGTGCCAAGAGGTTTTTTCCCCCCAAGGTATTCTGTGATTTCAGCATTTTACTTCCTCTAATTTATTTTTTTTTTAAATGAGAAGATTAAGTATAAAACTATTTCTACACTTATTTGAACAATGACCCCTTTTCATATAAGGCAGTTGTGTTATAAGAAGAAAAACTGCTCCTTTAAAGAGAGGAGGAAGAAAACTCTATCTGTCTAGTAAATGTTGTGTTTGTATTTCTCTTCAGTACGCTGTTGTCGCAAATCTATACTGCTGTTGTAGAGGCTGTGCTTGCTGGCATTGAGTGCTATGCTAAAACTTCCACTGAATCCAAGGTAAATGAAGCCCCAATTCTGTACACTGTAATTGTTGATTTGGGTTGCTTGCAATATAAGATTACATCCAAACCAAAATGATAATAATAAAAAAGTTTCCATCAACTACATTACATTAATGAATTTAATACCGTGGCCTCCAACCAGTCTCTCTGAATTCTGTTTAATAAAAAAATAAAGAAATTTCAGAGTATATCTAATTTTACCCATCTACAATTGTTTTCCCATCTTTCATAAATTTTCCTAACCTTATAGTAAGGAAAATCAGTTATGTGAAAGAACAAATTTTAGCCTGGTGCATCAGTGTGTTATTGTTTAGTGTATAGTCTCTTGTTTATCTTAGGGGTGGTCCTGTAGTTTGTTGGGATTTGGAAGTATGGGGGAAAAGCTATTTTATTCTCCATTTCCTTTTTTCAGGCAAAGGAGGTAGCAGAGCAGATGCTCATGTCTGTGTTTGATACCCTTCATTTAACACAACTTAAAACAGCATTACGGTATGTATTTTCAAATACTAATGATTGGTATGTTGTGTCAATGTATTAGCTTCTTTTGGGGAAAAAAATATGTCAAATGTTAATTTTAAACTGAATTGCACGTCTGCCAAAAATTCCAAGACTTCATAATGCATTCAAACTTATAAAATCATTATAAATCTTCAATTTTCCTCTTCCTGCTTTTTTTTAATAACTTCAGCAGTTATTTTGCTTTAAATCTATTATTGCTTATTTTTTACATGTATAAACCACATAAACCACATTTTTTCACCAGTACAATTTCTGTTCTACAGCTCCAAAATCACTTTTCAAATCCAGGCTGTGAATAATCATGGAAGGTTTGTATCACTGTCTTACATTTCTTGTTATTAATCAGTGTTTTTAATACAGTAATAAGTTTATTTTTCTTGTCTTAGAACTTCTGAGAAAACATTGCATTTGATTATTTCATACAAGATGTACTCAATGCTTTTGTGTTTGAGATGGTTTAATTCTGTGGAATCTTAAAAACATTTCTAAAATTCTAAAACAACTGGGCAGACCAATTTTATGAACTGTTAATGAGTAGAGGCAATGTGAGCCCATTAAGATTTTCCTTTTAAAACCATGCTTTTAACTTAGTTGATATCACAAGCTTGTGCTTTTTTTTATGCCCATGCTGTCTAATTGACTGAAATGGCCTACACAAATAAGAGTTTATTTTAAAATTAAATAGCTTTTTTGACTGCTGTGAAGTGACTCGAAATGATCTAACCTTTAAATATTTAATTATCATTCTTGTTCTAGAATTACTCCATTAGATAATGAGGATAGCCTGAGTTTGATTAAAACGGTAAGTAAGTATTCAGTATTCTGATTGTTCATTTTATTAGAAAATAGAGCTCATGTGGCTTTTTTTATGGGGCATGCTTAGATTTTTATCTATGTGAATACAAATATAAGAGGAGAGATGAGATGCTGAAACCAAGGTAAGGTTAAGTTTTAACAGGAAATCAAACAGTGGAATTTGGAAGAAAACATTAACACAGAGTTACAATCTCAAACTTTCCACCACGATATAGAAACAATGTTTTAGGAGATTTAAAACATATAGATTTTGCTGCTTCAGTGTTTCACATTCTGCTTTCTCTTCCTTTCTTTCAAACTGTTTCATTGCCCTAGGCGTCTATGATGATATTTGACATTCCAGACTTGCTCGCAGGAAAAGGATGCTTGGGATCTGTTGTCTTTTCAGAGTCTTTTCTAACATCACAGATACAAGTAAAAGAAAAAGGTAACTATTTTAAATTCTACCACCAGTGTTGTAGTTCTGTTAGCTTTGGTGGTGTGACGGAGGAGCAAAAGGGCTTCTGATGGATGCTATTACCATTATGGCTTTAAGCCCTTGTGTTAATTAAAAGACCCAAATGTTTGAGTTTGCTAGTAATAAATATCTTAAGTGTTGAATTTCTCTAATCTCACTGAAAGGACTTTGGGTTTTATGGCTGCTGTGTGTTACAGCAGGGCTGAGGTGTAAAAAATTCAAGTCTAATACTACCCTTCCTAAATTTTCTTTGATCTTGGTGAATATTTTCTTTGATCTTAGTGAATATTTTCTTTGATCTTAGAGAATATTTTTCTATTCTACGAGGAAATTCAAACAGCTCTCTTCCATCACTTTTGTAACACTCATTTTATATGATATATTTTAATTTTAGTTGCTCTTCATTTGGAATAGATGAAACAAAATAAAAAGGGATGTGAGTTTTAGAAAGCTTGGGTTTTTTTGGAACAGTCTTACATTTAAAATACAGGATGCTGAGTAATTTCCATAACTTTAAACAAGTACATATTTTCCAGATTGTTTACATGTGACAAAGAGAGATAGTTATTGAGGTTGTCTGAACAATATTTATGAACTCCTGTATCCAGACAGGCTTGTGGGTTTTTAACCATGGGATTTGGAACACTTTTGGTGCGGAGGAGAGCAAAGGAAGAAGCCACATACTCAGATCAGAATAAAAGTAGAGTTTCTTTGGTATTGTAAGGCCCCACCTGGAATACTGTGTCCAGTTCTGGAGCCCCTATCACAAGAGAGCCATGGAGCAACTGGAGCCAGTCCAGAGGAGGCCACCAGGATGATGCGAGGGCTGGAGCAGCTCTGCTGTGAGGGCAGGCTGAGAGAGTTGGGGCTGTTCAGCCTGGAGAAGAGAAGGCTCCAGGGAGATCTTCTAGTGGCCTCCCAGTACCTGAAGGGCCTACAAGAAAACTGGGGAGGGACTTTTCATAAGGGCAGTTAATGACAGAACAAGGGGAAATGGGTTTAAGCTGAAAGAGGGCAGGTTTAGATGAGATATTAGGAAGAAGTTCTTCACTGTGAGGGGGGTGTGACACTGGAACAGGTTGCCCAAGGAAGTTGTGGATGCCCCCTCCCTGGAAGTGTTCAAGGCCAGGTTGGATGAGGCTTTGAGCAACCTGGTCTAGTGGAAGGTGTCCCTGCTGCTGGCAGGGGGGTTGGAACTGGATGATCTTTAAGGTCCCTTCCAATCCAAACCATTCCATGATTCTATGTTACAGCACAAGAAGACTGGGAGCTTGTCTGCTGTGAAAGCTTCACTTGAACACTAATAAGTCCTTAAAATAATGAGGAAATCTTTATATTTCCTAAAGAAATTTCAAGTTAGTAACTTACTGAGTAGTCTGGAGTCTGTGGATGGTCTGATGCTATTTTGCTTTCTGCTTACTTCCCTGCAGATGGCAGCATTAATTCAGAAGCCAGACACATAATACTGACGGCTGCTATCCCAAGATACGCTTCTTGGCTGGTTAGTACACAAAAACTTACTTGAGTTTTTTCTATTCATACAGATTCACAAATGATAACCTTTGTAGTAAGTATGGATGTATGAGGAAAAAGTATGGAACTTGGACATTGGAAGAGATTATTAATATATTAATACTACTCTGATTTTTGAATTTGAACATGAAGTGAAAAACTGATAAGTGGAAACAGGCTGATGGTTTCATTCATAACACAAGTTTTAAATTATTTCATTTTCACCACTTCAGTTTTTTAGCTGTGTAAAGGCCTGGGTGTTTTTCAAGTACATAGTGTGACTTTTGAAAATTCTGTTTATTGTAGGACACTTTAGATCACTTAACTGTCTGCCCCAAAAGAAAGACAGGTCTTGCTTCCAGACCTCTAGTGTACTACACTGTGTTAGAGGTAGAATTCCAATGAATGTTATGAAGTTGGACAACACTATGCCCTTTGGCAGTCCATACTTCTTAAACACTTTAACATTAATAAAAAATAAGATTGAATGAGTTACTGCTTTGTGTCTATAAGATACTATTTTGGTCTATAAAACAATTTAATGGGGGGTATCCCCTTGTGCTTCAAGAAACTTTCAGTCCCATGGTGACACAGCGTTGAGTACAACAAAGCTGTCTTTGAAGCACTCTGGTCTCTGGACTTTATCTGTGGTACCTAAGGTTCTTGTTTGCCATGAATCTTCTTTAATGCTTTTTATTTAATGTTAGACTTGCTTTATCTACTAACAATACAAATGGAAACTGTTTCTGGCTACAGGTTGAAGACAGTGATGTGAAACTGTCTGAAAAGGCACAGCATATATTGAAGGTAAAATTAAAACATTTTTGTTAAACTACATGAGTTACACTTTCAAGAAGCAATATTCAAAAAACCTTAGCTGCTAGTAAAACTGGCTTTTATTATGGTTGTTATTCCTCTTCTACGAAAGACTTGCCTGTTCTACCCTCTTTCAATCTTTGACCTACAAAAAGAATACACTGTTTATAAAAGTTTGAGGTTTTTCTTTATTTCAAAGAACGACAAAACCCAAGAGCAAAAAGAGTTCTAATAAAGCTGTGATTTCATGGAAGTCTCACTAAGTCTTACCCATGGAGCTCATGTGTTTCAAAAAAAACCCCCAAACTCAATGCCACTCTACATGCAACTTTCTTTTAACTTAATTAGCATGCTAAATGTCTAAAGGAAAACACTTTAAGCACTATGAAAAAGAAAAGAATTTAGGATCTGGGAACATTTTAATCCACATGAGTTTCACATTTGTGGTTTAATTTGTGGTTACCAGAAATCTTCATTACAAATAGATTTATTTTCCTGTAATATACTTTTAGTTCAGTAGATTGACAATCTAAAAACAAAAAGCTATGCCTTGTGGTTGTGACAATAACTTGTAACTTAATAGCTGCTGGCAAAACCAAAAGCAGGGGGAAGTGCTTTTAAAAATTAAACTCTTGACATGCTGTCTTTCACTAGTTCTTCTGTATCAATGCAGTTTAAAAGTTCTGACAGTTTAAATGCTGTTTAAAAAAAAATAATAAAAAATTCTTGAAGTAAAAGCATGAGAAAATATTCCTGCCTGGATCCCAGTTCTTGATGCAGTCTGTGATATTACTGTTTGTGTTTCCTGTGTAGGAAGACAAATCTTTTCTGGGCTCTTTACTCACTGGAGGTGATGGAGCATATATTTATTCCAGCAATCCACTGGCCATGCCTACAGAAGGTGAGATGTTTTTTTTTTCAATTACTTATGAAGTTGGTCCACTTAAAAAAAATAATAAAAAAATAAAAATAATTGAAAGAAATGTACAGTTTCTGTGATTTACACATCTGCTGAGCATAGCTATACCATCATCTTAAGCTTTCCTTCCATTTGCCTTTCCAACTTTCTCCTGTTAAACACCATATTTTACTTTTTTGTCCCCAACCTCTGCTTGAAACTTCTACCCCTAGAAGAGGGGTTCCTGTCAGAGCCATAGACTTGCTTTTAAGGCACATGGGACTCACCTCACATGATCGAGAATGAGTCTTGGCAGACCTGGGACATGGCTTTCTCCCATAGTTCAGGTTTGAAAGCATTCACAGACTGGCTGCTTCTATCCTTAATGGATAGTGTGCCATGTTTTCTGCTTTTTCTGCACCTCTATAAACATTGGGTTGGAAAGGTCGAGCATTACAGTAGTGACAGGGTGCCATGGGCTCCCAGCTCAAGAAGTGAAGGCAAACAATGTACGTTTTGGGCAATGTGGTACGCTGCCTGTGATATAGGAGGGGATTGGAATTATTTGTTTCTGAATTTATTTACAGCCTTGTGTTCTTTGCTCCTACTGAAGCCTCCTCCTGGAGCTGACATGCTGTTCCAGTTTTTTTTTCCATTGTCATTTTCACTCAGGAACTTCAGTGCCTGTGAGCACAGATGCTCACTCTGCAAGATGCTCAATCTTGGTCCTTTTCAGATTCAGTCAAGTTCCTGCTTTCTGATGTGAGATAACGAGCAACAGGCTTAAATCATTCCTTTTCTTTTGGTGCCCTCAAGAACTTAAGTAACATGAATATCTCAGTAATATGACTAAAGACAATTTGGGAGGGCTTTTGGAAGGGGTTTCCCTCACTCCACAGTCTTGTGTTGTTGTGCCTTGCTTTGCCTTGAACTGAGAGGTACTACTTAAAGCATAATATTTGTATATCCCTCTGTATGGAGAAGGTACTGTTGTCACAGTACTGATGTACAATGAAGATAACTAATTTCTGACCTCTAAGTGCTTAGCATAAACTGCCAATCTTGAGAGGAAAATCTTGAGCTTTATTGTTTTTGTAGCTATGCAATGTAGTGTTGAGGATAAATAATAACGTATGAGGCAATTAAACAACAACCTTCACATAGTGGAATTTGCTTTTGCTCTTATTGAACAGATTTTAAAGAAAGAAGGTTAATGCAGATTAACATACTTAGCTATTTTACAGTGCAGTGCTGTGGGCACATGTTCACTCAGTAAATAATGAGAGAAGGTGATTTTTCTTTTCTTTTTTCTTTTTTTTTTGTTTTTGTTTTTGTCTTTATTCATAGAATCATAGAATGGTTTGGATTGGAAGGGACCTTAAAGATCATCTAGTTCCAACCCCCCTGCCATCAGCAGGGACACCTTCCACTAGACCAGGTTGCTCAAAGCCTCATCCAACCTGGCCTTGAACACTTCCAGGGAGGGGGCATCTACAACTTCCTTGGGCAACCTGTTCCAGTGTCTCACCAAACATTCTCCGTGAAGTGTGATTTTTTTTCTGTGAGACTTGGCAGAAATGTACTTAAGAACTTCTTCCTAACATCTAATCTAAACCTGCCCTCTTTCAGCTTAAACCCATTTCCCCTTGTTCTGTCATTAACTGCCCTTAAAACTGACTGTGTCTGCCCCAATGAAACCATTTATTTTTCTTCCCTTTTTTGGGGAGATTTGTGAAGTTAAATGTTTTGGTAACTCTTGGGATGGAGAGTTATAAGTAGGTGGTATAAGGACTATTATGCAACACTTCAACGAGCGAGATATTTTCTTAGGTGTCAAGTGAAAATGAACTTGATCTCGTTCCCTTTCATGTACGCTGCAAGACAGTTTGTTGTGCTCTAATTTGGGCTCCGCTGAAGTTGCAGCCATGTAATCTGTCAAGATTAGGTGCAAAAGGTGCTGTCACACAGGCACTCGTCTTCTCTCTCTGTCACTTGGCTCTCACTGTAATAACACATACATTCATGACTAAAATGCATCCACAAAGTTCAGGCTCTTAAACCTTTTCTTTTGTCTGCTAATACATCTGCTGCGTTCTGGATTTTTCTAGGATAAATTTAACAGAGCAAATCAGTCTTGACAATTAAACTCTCTTTTTGTGATTAATCACTTGTGGAAATATACAAGTAGTATATCAAGTTGTTTTTTATATAATTCACTGATTTCCATGTTAAAGGAAGCTGGTTTAGTTTGGATTAATTACTCCTCTGTCTGACTTCCTCTTCTGTTACAAAAGAATTAACATCTCTGATTTCCTTTCTTTCCCCATTGACACATTCTCTGTGAAGTGTGATTTTTTTTCTGTGAGACTTGGCAGAAATGTACTTAAAATCTTGTATTTTGCCATTTTTGTTCCTCAACCATTCAACAGAGGACACATCACCTGTGCTGTGGCTTGAATTTTGTGAGCACTGGAAGCATCAGCGATGAACATCTTGTATATGTAAACTATTAAACCTCCACATCTGTGTAGTTATGTATGGTTTTGTCTCCGTTCTAGTTACTCTGAATTTTGACCTTGAATTTGTGATTGTTGGTTTCCCAATTTAATAGTAACCTTCTCTCCAGTCCTGTTTCAGTGTTAAACTAGAAGCTTCAATCTAAAACAGTTATGTTCATAGACAGCAGAGCCTACAGGTTTTTTTAGGTTGAAATCATGTGTCTAGGTGTGGTCTTTTGATTCATGTCAAACTCTTTTTTTTATTAAAACAAACCTTTAATATGGAACAGTTTTGAAGATCTTTCTAAGTTGCCATTTCAAGAGGCAAATGTTTTTATGTCTTTATTATTTCTTCTGAGCATTGTTTGATAGATTGAGCTAGATGTGCAGTCATGTTTAGCCATATGTTTTAGTTACTTTGCTGCTTGGCTTTGTTTGCTCTTTCTTGAAGTGTAAATCTTGAGTAATAATTATTTTTTTCTTTTTATGTCTTTTTCCCTTTAAGGAAAATACTTAACCTTTCCTTTATGCTGACTCACATGCTTCCCAGTATGGGATATGATCCTGCTTTTAATGCATGGTCCAGCACTGGTAGCAGAGGTCCATCTGGCAGCCCCTGCTTAGTCATTTGTTCATGGCTTTCTTATGACTGTTGGAATTTAGCTTTTATTGTTGATGTCAGTCTCTAGCACTTGGGTGGAAATTTGTTTTTATCTGTTATACCATCTAGTGTTGCTGTTTCTCATTTTCCAGCTGCTTTCCCTGGTTATGCAGGTTTGTTAAGAACCAAAGTGTCTGTAAGATGGCAAGAAACATGGAGATAAAATGAATGAATGCCATGTCTCTCTTGGCTGTCACTAGATTGTTAGCCTCCAGGGAAACTGCTGGCCCCGTAACAGCTTTCTCTGTAGGGAAATTGAAATGTAAGTCTGCAGATAAAGGGCTTTTCTGTTTTAAACTTTGTCTTGATGAGAAAGTGAAGGAAATCTCTCATCTCAGACTTTTTTTTTTTGGTACTGTCTGCATGTTATGTGTTATATTGACATTTTGCTGAAAATCTGACTGACTTGTTACAATGTTTAAATTTTCAGTTGTCTTGGATGTAAGTTTTTCTTAAGTTCTTTTTTGGTGAGTTTTACATTTTGGGAAGTTTGCAATTCAACGTGATGGAATATTTTTTGACTTTAAAAAAGAAAAACAAACAAACAAAAAAACCCCAAACAAAACCAAACCCACAGAATTTTTACAAAAGTAGGCTCCAGGGGCTAAGATTAAGTCAAATGCAATCATTGTCATGGTTTCTGCCCTTGATAGTGAGATGCAGTAAAGATTGAATGATTGTGCACTGAATGCTGTCTAGATGCTATCCCAAGTCTTAAATGTACTGTATGTTAAATATAACAAAATTCTTCAAGAACATAGATTTCTTCCTCAGAAAGAAGAGCCATTCGTCACATGATGCTGAAATATTGATATATACCTAATACAATTTCTTTTTTCTTTCAAATTCTAGGCAAATTGTACTTCTTTTCAGATGGCATTCTCTTTTCTCATCCCCACCATGGCAGCATTTCCATTTCAAAGAACCATATGAATTCAATTTCTCTCTATGATGGGGTGAGTATTTTGTTTGTTCCTACTGTCACAAACTTTTAATCGTTTTTTTAAAAGTACTTCTGGAGGATACAGAGTTTGTTTTACAAGTGTGTGTGTAAAACTAACACAAATTTCTACACTTTTGGTATAGCTTAACCAATTACTGATTAGCTAAGCTGCAGGGAGGAGAGGATTTTGTATTAGATTGAGTTGTGGTGCTAAGTGGAGCAGAGTCTAGTT